TGACAGTACTTCACTGCCCTGTGTGTGGATGTCCCCCCTTCCCTCCCCCTACACACTGTGCCACACCTTGCTGCGTCATGCACAGGTATTCTCACTACACAGTGCCACGCGTGCAGACCCCCAACCCCCTTCCCACCTTTCTGGGATGCTGCCATGCCCTGTACTGCCCCAGAGACTGGAACAGGAAGTGGAGGGAGGGGGAGCCTGGAGCCCTTGTCTCGTATTGCAGACAGAGCAGTGGAGTGGTGGTGGCCAGGTGGGAGCCTGGGGGATCACAAATAAACCCCTCACAGGCCACACGTGACCTGCCAACTATGAGTTGGATAGCCCTGTTCTACATTTCCTTGCTTCATTCTGTTCTTTTACCTGATTTCTTGCTCTTTTCCCCCATGCCCAGCACTCTCACAATTTTTCCTTCCTGATGCCAGAATACACTGGAGCCACTAGTTACACGTACTAGACATTTTATGTTTGCCAGTGGTACCAGCAGGGAATGAGTCTCTCTCTTGCACAATCTAGAGCTGTTATCCACTGCTCTTCAGCAATGCCTGATGGGTTTGCTAGAAATAGAATCCAATTCATTTGTTCCATATGGAAGAATTCAGAATGTGTTGAGGACATTTCTATAAACTGTTCTGCAGAACAGTGTGCAACTTACTCTTTGACATTAAATATTTAAATAGATACTTGTGTAGTGATCACTGAGCCCTGGTCCTCTGCACCCACTAGAATGGCTATACTTGGGGGACTGTAATAAAGAAAGGACAATTCCCAGGGGCAGGCCAGTTTACAACCCACACTATGGCTGCATGTGTTTCTGTTTCCCTCATATCACATGGTGTCAGAAGTAGGCCTGATCCCACTATGGCAGGCGTTTTCAACCTTTTAAAATAAGTATACCCCTGGTGGCCAGACATGGAGCCAGGGGTGGGACACAGAGGTGCGTGGCTGGACACAGAGCGGCGAGTGTGGGGTGGTGGGTGGCGGTGCTCTGCCCCTGCCCACCTTTGGGTACCCCATAGGGCCTTCCCAAGTACCCCCAGGGATATGCGTGCCCCCAGTTGACAACTCTTGTGTTCCAGTATTTATTATACAACACACACACAGTGTGATCCAATCCTCTAGAAAGAGACTGAAAAAGAACTGAGACACAAACTCTGGAACAGGTTAATAACCAACCTCAGAACATTATTCCCTAGAGCAGTGCTTCTCAAAGTGGTGGTCCGCAGACCACTGCCGGTCCGCAAGCCACTGGTTGCCGGTCCACAGCAAGTTGCCAGGAAAGAAAGAAATATATTTTCAGAAGCATAACATTGATATGTCATAGCGCCACCGTTCGTACATTCCAACACTCCAGGTGACATCACGTCATGAGAGGCAAGGAAAGAGAAAGAAACAGCCGGTCGCGCATTTGTGTAGTGCTGTTACACGCAGTTGCTGCCACCAGCTGAATCGGGCACCGGTCCCTGGCCCACTGGAAAAAAAATTGCTGGTCTGCCACATCAGATAGTTTGAGAAGCACTGCCCTAGAGGACTTCATTTCCTGAATATTGCATACCATGAAACCATTCCTAATCGAGCTCTGGCTGTATACAACCTCAAGAGAACACTCAAGAATTCAAAGATGCATCCAACTCTGAAGCAGTTCTTACTAAAGACCAGTCATTTAAAACATACTGATTGTTTCTGGGGTTAATTTCCTTTAAATCAGGAAACATCCTCAGGATAAAAAAGCTTTACAGTGTCTACAGTTTGCCACATTTAAAAAATGATGCATTTAAAACAGCTTGCCATTCAAACTCTAAACCACACTTACCTGCTGATCATAAACTGGAGATGGTATATTTTGGGGAATTCAGGAAACAATTGAATCTGTCATTCTTTCCGCCTCGTCATTTCATTAACTAAAAGTGTTTTTACGAAGTGAACCTGACTTGTTACCTTGGCAACTGAGATCCTTACTGTTAACATATTATTTGAAAATGATGTCTGAATTGTTACTTTTGCACAGTCCTAATTAAGATTTCAGTAGAAATAACTTGGCTTCATGCAGTTCCTCAAATACGTGTTTTTTGCTTATAATCTTAAAGAGATGTGAGATGTGTGCCTGTTACTTTGCCATATAGGTGCCAATCACCTTGATGTCTGTTACTGAAAGAATTAATTTACTTCTGAGGCTGTCCAGCAGCACTCCCCGATACATGGCGCAGAAGGAATAAATTCTGACTGGACCTGATCTGGTTGTAGACATCTTTTAGCATCTCATTCATAGTGACTCTTACACGTGGTTCACACAATAATGGGCAATAATTATAGTAATGACTGACAATAGTAGAATTGGTGTTCAGTATGAATGTACAGGAGGATTTCTCTATTGGCTACAATAGGTAAAATCTTCTCTTGGATTTTTCTTAGCTCACTGCTGTTGAGCATTACAGAATGGAAACTTATTGCAGTGCAAGTTCCAGGCCAGCCAGGGAGTGGCTGCCAGCATTTGTTGCTGCTCAGCAAATCCAGGATAAGTGGCAAAAGCACAAACTTGACCGCTATGTAACTTTTATCAATTTGGTGACAGAATTTGACACAGTGAGCTGATCTCAATGTTGGAGCCATAGGGAAAGGCTGAACTGTCCAAGAAATATTCTGTCAGTCACATGGCAGCTCTGTGATGGTACGTGTGGCAGGATTCACTTCCAAACTACAGAAGGCTTGTTTAGCCTCTCCATACTGTTGAAGTGGGACAAAGGCTGCCAAGCAAACTACACAGGAACTACATGCCAGGGACCATGCAATGATGGTCCACTCCAGGGAAGATCTTCGTCTCCTAGTAAACTGTTTTGGTGCCTTTCAACTAATGATGGACTAAACATCAATTGGGGGAAAACTGAAATTACATCTCAACCACCACTGGAAGACAGACTAGCACTCTTTCTATGTCTACTGATGGAATTGTACTTCCAGGTGTTTGTAAGTTCACTTACCTTGGCAGTGTTTTGAATGATTGTACCAGCACTGATGGGGAGGTAGCAACCTGCATCCAGAAAGCTAATAGGGCTTTTGGCAGGCTTACAAAGTGAGCAGGCAACATGGGATCAAGATTTCCACCCAATTAAAAGTATACAAAGTTATTAAACTCACCATGCTGCTTAGATGGGTGGGAGTCTTGCATATTTTTAAGAAGGCACATCCACAGAAGTTAAACAGAAATTCCAGAGGCACCTTCAGACCCTACTTTAAGTGAACTGGTATAACAAACTGACCAATGACTAAGGACTTCACCTTGCTGACTCTAATGAGGCATTAAAAATAGAGACCCAGCTGTGATTGGTCAGATCCCAGACTTAGCTGGAGAATGGGTGAAATCCCAAGCAGCTCCTATGCAGTAAACAAGAACAGTGGAAGGAGAGGCATCACTACCCTGGGATGTTCTGGAAGGACAGTCTTAAGGTGTATTTCATCAAGTGCAACCTACTGGTTAATGCTTCAGAAACTTTAGCCATAAACAGGCAACACTGGAGCACCAAAATAAAGGAAGGTATAAACTTTTCTGAACTGCAACAGTAGGCCTTAGGGCAGGAAAAGCACGAGGTAACAGTTGCAGCAGAAGCAGCAGCAGCAGACTTGAGTGGTCTGCACATTATGTGACATAAGGAGCTTATTGTACACAGGCCTTTACAGTCATCTGTGCATCCACCACACTTGACACAGCACAACTGTGGCATTGTTGTCCTCAAATACAGAGGACTCATGATGCCCACAAAAGTTGTGTGACTACAAGTCAGACAGGGTTGTGTTTTTAAACATAATTTTGCTATTAAGGGAGAAAACTGGATTGCTTGGCCAGAAGGATAGTGCTTTTCATGGGCCTAAACTCTTGAAATTTTAGTTACAACCTCAATCACATGCAGCAAGTCAACCAGAGGCTGAACTTTTATAATAGCAGTGTTGTTGCCTCATTTCCTTTACTCTGGGAAGCCACAAGATACTAAGTTTTATATGAAGAATTGCAGAGCAGCCAGGTCCAGTGTAAGGCAGACATACCACCTGGGTCAGCAGCAATGATGGTTAAGGTTGGCCCCTTCCAGGGGCCCTTGTGGGCTACCCAAAGCTCTATCACTAAGTGCAGACATTTGCGGGGCGGGGGGAAGGTTAGGGAAAGGATAGATCACATTAAAAATGGCCACTCAATCTAAAGTAAGTTGGGATGGGGGGACCTAGCGGTGTGGGGGGAAAGCACAATCTGCAAGAGTGATGGGGAGCAGGCACAAACCATGGGGTGGGGGGAGGGTTGGAGAGGGCAGGCGCAATCCACGGGAGCAATCAGGAGGATACGCAGGATCTGCAAGGAGTTGATGGGGTTCAGGCACGTTTGGCAGGATCAGGGGAGTTGATGGGGTCCACAGAAGAGCTTGAGGGGGACAAGGGGCTATTTTTAGCCCCTGACACTCCAGTGAACCTACCTCCCCATCCCTTCCTCCCCTTCCCCCATCAATACTTACTTCCTCCATTCCCCAAATCTGAATGCTGATAAAAATGGCCCCCAGAGCAGCCTGTGGGGTGGAAGGTTTGTGGTGGGGGGGAACTGGCTGGTCCACAGGGGGGCGGCTAAAAAGAGGCCAGGGGGCTAAATATAGCCTGATGCCAGGGGGCAGGGAGGGAAA